CAGAAGACGCAACGAATAAATGCGCTAGTTTCCAGCATCATAATAACACGACCGACTGAACTTTCCTACACAACCCTGTCCGTCCCGTTTGCGCATGCGCTATGGCGCAGTCTTTAGCGGGTACACTCTGTGCGGTACAGTGATGTGACCCACTGAAAGAGCCTCCCGAACACAGCGAGCGAACGATACTAATGTTACTGAGAGCCGAGCAAAGCGACTGTTCTGTGCGTTTGAAGGAGACGCTGAAATCAGTGAAGTCATCTAACGGCGCCTCCCATCCGAAGAGCGAAGACGCCCGAGAGCGCACACACACGCAACAGCGCAACTTTGCTCGTAGATGTGACTGTACCGCGCGCTCGATCTGGGGGAGAGGGGGGACTATCCGGACAATCTCATTACTTTACGGACTATCTTTGTGTTTTAACTATATCTAGATACGTGCGCCCTGGTAAGTTGATCTAAGTCTCAATCAAGTAAGTGCGCTGCCTACTCCATGTTGAGGATGCCCAAAACATGTTGTCTACGCAGGAGCACTCACTTCGATTTGAGAGCGTTTACACTGCATTCGAAAATAACGCATACATGATTGCTTAGTATCTTTCATGAAGAACTGTCTGGTGAGACGTTTCAGATTTAAGCTTCTTGTTGCCAGTTGTGCAATAGCTAAGGCTTTTGGCGGTGATGACATTTTGGTTAGTTTGAATTCAGTTGCCATTGACTAGACGCTTTTATCACCAGGTTTAAGCTGGTCTGGTCTCAGTTGGCAAAGCTGTTTTTTAGCTGGTCTATCTGATTGACAACTGGCCTTTCTGCACTCTTAAAAAAATGCAACCCAGTGCTGGGTAAAATAGGGACAAACCCAGCAATTGGGTTGTTTTGACCCCAGCGGGGTCAAAACAACCCAATTGCTGGGTTTGTCCCTATTTTACCCAGCACTGGGTTGTATTCAACCCAGCATTTTTTAGAGTGTGCAAAGAAAAACCCCTTTAGAACCAGTCTGACTAGGAAACCAGCAAACCAGTTAAGGATTGATGAAATGGTTTTCAGAAGGGTTGATCCAGGAAACACAGAACTCATTCTGTGGTTTGAACCTAGCACTTTTACTTACCGCTTTCATTTACCCAGAACTTTTAAAAACTAGAATATCACACAGAGACTAAGACACAGATGTTTTACTGGTCTTAGCTGGGTTATGCTGGTTTAACTGGACTCCCAGCCTGGGCAAGCAACTCTTCATCTAACTACTGGATTAGAACCTCTCTAAAGCAGAACCAAGACCTGCAAACCTGGTTAAAATCTGGTTTTCTTACTTGGGAAAATTTTTTTTTGTCCAATACACTGTTTAAGGTAGTGTGAATAATTGAAATTGAGCCCATTGTCGAAGTTAATGTTTGTGGCAGTTTGCAAGGCAAATGTGAAAGATGGTGATTCGCAAACAGGTTTGTTTGACGCAAATGCAAGTATGTCAGGTAAAAAATAAGTGTATGGTTTTGTAATTCTTTAAACGGAAAAGTTGATTTGTTTATTATTGTTGTTATTATTATTTAGCAGTATAATAATGTTATTATTATGTGCAGTCATTGACAATATTCCAGAATATTTCTTGCTGTATAGCAGACAAATGTTACTTACTGTATTATTTACTGTACCCATCCAGGTTGATTTAGAAGATACCGCATAAAGCACCTTTTTAGGTTACCCAATAAAACTGTACTTTCTCATGAGAGAAGTTTGACCGGCAGTCTTACACTATGCTTCTCTCCTCTCATATCCTTATAAACGTCAGGGTCTGATTGCATCATGAACGGCTGGCTAAGATGGACAGAACATCTAAACGTTAAGTAATGATTAGCAATTCAGTCAAGCTTTTAAAGGCACTTCAAATTGCTTTACACCTTTTTTATCACTGTTTTGAAAGGCAATTGCGTGGTAATGCATTTGTGGTGAGGACATGAGACAGGATGTTTGAGGTGGCTCTTCCTTTAAACACTTTAATCTTTTCAACATTTGAATTTGCAAATCGGATTCAGCTTCATCTGTGTGTAGTTTTGTTTGAAGCTGAAAAAACACAAAGCGGTTTAACTGTGGCCCACCATCTGTCTGTGTCTGAAGAACTAGAGGTACATGTGAATTGCGACTCGGTCTGTTGCTAAAGGACGATTGTGTTCGTTTTTATTTACAAGAAGACACAGACATATGTTTGAGTTTCAGATCTACGCTATGCATTAAAGGTGGGGTAAGC